GTTCTTGGCAAAAGAAGAAGAAAATCCATAACAAAGTTGAGAGAGCAGAAGAGTCTTTATAAATCATGTAGGAAGAGGGAGGGAAGATGGGGAAAGTAGAAGAAGTAGGCATATGCAGGGGAAAAAAAGAAAAGACAGGATTAGACTACTCCTTAAAGAATACAAGGACTTCTTGGTTTCATCAACCCTTTCTAGCATACTGTTTAAAAAAACTGATTTATAATACTGTTAACAAAAAAATCTGTGGCAGTTTAGTATTACAAAACCACAGGACAGTGAAGATTATCTTCTGCCAGATGTTAGAAGAAAGACATAATACACTCTTTTCTTCCTTACTCATCTATATTTCTCCATGATAAAAGGGCCCAAAACTGAAGATTCAATTCTCCCAACAAGGCTTTTTCTCTACTTTGCAAAAGATAAAAATAAAAAAAATTCTAAATACTTCAATGACGAGACTTCTAACATATCTGGAAGAAATGACTACTGAATGAGTACTGACAGCTTTCAAGCTGTGAAACAAAATGCTCATCTGGTTCCAAAGAGCAATAACCTTGGAGGCCTCAGAGTTGAAGACAGAATGCAGTTTGCTAGAAAGAAGGCAGGAGGAATAGCGTAATTCTGGAGGTCAAAGAGGTTTCAATACAACGACTCATTCTGCACACTAACAGCTAACTTAAGAGTCTTCTCTTAAGCACAAAAGAACTGCTAAAATACATTTTGTATCCCCAGATTTGATTTCAAGGAAGTAGAGAAGCTGTCAAAAACTGTTAGCAGTCAGAGGAGCTAAAAACAATTTGGTTTTTAGATAACGGTCTGCCCTAACCTGACTGGGAACTGCCAGTAAGGCCAAGTGAAATAAACTGTGGAGTTACAGAAGTTCAATCATCTTGAATTAAAGTTTACAATTACTTTTCTTAAAGCAACTTTTTAATAACTGTAGCAATTTTTCAGAGCAACCTGTAAGACGCTGAATAATTACCATTCCAAAAATAAGTAAACCCCAGATTTGTGAGCTTCTCAAAGAACTCTATACACCACAAAAATAAGGTGTATAAATAAATTTAAAAAAATAAGGTATTGATAACAGTCATTTATCTTTATCAGGGTTGCTGACATTCACTTCTATTTTTAACCCACAGTTTAATTAAGAACTATCTTGGTAATATTGATGGAATGATAAGTCAAGCAAGTTTTACTCAGACATGCATTAACACAGGCACTAACTTCATGGCTCCACCATCTATCCACACTACTACATGTTGCTTAGAAGAATGTGCCACTTGACTACTGAATCATAGCTTCAGCAGGTCATTTCTGGAGTCTGATTTTTTAAAACTTCTGAAGTAAGTTACTAATAAAAGTAAATTCAACTGAACTTATGTAATTTAGCAACTAGACTTTAAATGGCTGCAGAGAATGATATTTTAAATAAAACAATACTTGAGTAATGTTTGTCAATTTCAAAGGAAAAATTATCATGAAGCAATTAGAAAGTCATCTAGAAAAATGAAAAAAGTCTATTTTAAAGCCAACTGTTTCTTTTATGAGTAAAAATATCTCCATTTCAGTTCACATCATTTAATTACTACTTGATTATGAGACAATATACACTGAGAGCTGAAAGACTTCGACACACCTCATCCCCCATGCTCTACTTGACAGAACACAGATGGTCTTTGCTCAGTTTCACCTTTCCTTTCGCCAAGTGCTGCAGGTTATCACACGACTCGCACCAGCCATGAGAACTGACACCATGATCCTCACACAGCAGACCCCCTTTGCATCTTTGGAATATTCCCTCTATACAGCCAAAATCAGTGTGTAAGTCACTGTGCTAGTCTGCTCAACAAAGCAACTCCACAGGACAGCCCGTGAATTCTCCAAGGAACTATCAAGATTTGATGAAACTAGAAGAGCAACCAAAATCAGCTCAGAAATTACCATGCTTTATTATTAGTAATGATACTATTTAAGAGAACACAGTTGTGTATAATTTCCCATTAGATCAAAAATTTATGTTTGAAGCAAATTTTCTAGAATGAAATTTCAGTTCTGGCCATGAAAAGAAACTCACTTTCGCTTCTGTGGTTACACAAGAAAAGGAGGTAAAAAAAAAAACCAACCCAAAACAAAGCAAAAACGAAACAAAAGACACATCCAGCACTAAACCAGGATCAGGACACACCCTAAGTCTCTTATTGGGATAAATGCCAAAGAGTAAATATTTCATGGTATTATCTCATCTATTTAACTGTGAGACTAATATTTCATTAACCATTTAAATACATGAATGCATTAGGTTTGCAACGTGAGATTTTTTTTATAGTGGAGAGTGCTACACAGTGTTTTCTGAGAAACTCCTAGAAACTTCTCCTATGTGTATGCAGCCAATGCCAGCCAAGGCCATCAGTAAGAGGTGTACTCTGGGATAACATATTTAAGATGAGAAAAAGTTATTGCACAGGTGAAATTACGGACAGAGAAAAGAGTAGTGAGAATATGTGAGAGAAACAACTCTGCTGACACCAAGGTCGGTGCAGAAGGAGGGGGAGGAGGTGCTGCAGGCGTCTGGGATGCACCCACAGCCCAAGGTGAGGCAGCTGTGCCCGGCAGCCAGAGGTCCATGGGGGAGCAGAGATCCCCCTGTAGCCCACGCAGGACCCCATGCTAGAGCAGGTAGATCCCAAAGGGAGCTCTGACCCCACTGGACATTCATGTTGGAGCAGGCTCCTGGCAACAACCTGTGGAGAGAAGCTCACTCTGAACCAGGTTTGCTGACAGGTTTGTGACCTTGTGGGGGATCCACGCTAGAACGGCCCGTCTCTGAGGACTGAGCCTCGTGAAATGGACTTGTGTTGGAACATGAGTGAAGAATTGCAGACCTTGGGAAGAACACACACTGGAGATGCAAATGGAGGACTCTCTCCCATGGGAGAGATCCCACACTGGAACAGGGGATGCAGTCTCCTCCATAAGGAAGAAACTGACAGAAACAATATGTGATGAACTGACCATAGCCCCCATTCCCTGCTCCCCCCTGCAGGGAGGTGGCAGAGAACCAAAAAATAAAGCTAATCCTGGGAAAAAAAAGAGGGAGGAGTAGGGAGCAGATGTTCAGAAGATCTGTTTTTATTGCTCATTAACCTGTTCTGGTTTGATTGGTAATGAATTATATTAATTTCACAAATTGGGTCTGTTTTGCCCATGATGGGAACTGGTGAGTGATCTCTCCTATCTCAGTCCAGAAGCCTTTTTGCTGTGTTTTCTCTCCCCCAGGCCAGCTGAGGAGGGGAGTCAGAGAGCTGCTTTGGTGGGCATCTGGCATCCAGCCAGGGTCACTCACAATGAAGAATAACTTTTCTTCCAGGAAATAATATACAATAACCAGGACAATGTGTTTTCCTGAAGATAAATACTGACATAATAATCTACCATAGAGGCAAATACTAAATGCCACCACTTATCTGCTGATCAGTTCCCTGCTTATAGATCTCTTTGGAGTCTTTGGAATACTTCATGGAAGAAAAGGAGTTGCAGATTGATACTTGATGAAAACAAAAAAAAAAAGGTACTTAATATTTTTCTGAAGGATATGGGAAAGAACAAAAAATTAGCAACAAATTCAGAAGACTCTTAGAAGTCTTCAGGAATGATGTGGTAGGATGGTGTATGCATGAGAAAAATAAATGATCTGGGACTGGATCCCAATCCCATCCCATGAAAGACAGTTTGATACACAGATGTCAATGTACACACAACTGAGGCTTTGGTATGTAGAGAATTAGACTGAGTTATGTGCAATCACAGGCAGAAAACTATTAAAGTACACCAGGTGTATCTGCCTCCAAAAACCTGCAACACAGCATTGCACAAAAAAGGCTTATCTGCATTTTCAATAACTTTAAAGTGGAAATGAGGTACACATTTGGAAACCTGATGAGAGAACAATTAATGAATTTATTGTTTATATTGTTTTTCCTTGAGGCCCTGAGCTTGGAGCAGGTAAAATGATGTTACTGTTAACTATTTAATTTTCTAATCAAAGCTGGCTAGGTAAACCAAAATCATTAAAACAAATAAATTAACAGAAAAACCATAACTTTCTACTTTTATGATAACCATCTGAGGTAAAGGTGGTGGCAGATCCAAATTCTGAACTCTGGATTATAACACGAGCTATGATTGCAGGGCTGGATGAACTGGGCAGGAGCATGGAAATCGATACTATCCCCTTATGACCTTTTCATTTTTGGCTGGAGAACTGATTTTCTTGGGTCACTAACTGTATTTAACCAACATCCTTGCCAAAACACAAACAGATCTTTACCTCGAAGGCCCTTATATGTTTGGCGTCCTTCCTTTCCTTTTAATTAAAGACTAAAACGACACGATTTTAATAACAGATTCCGACTTAAAAAGGAAGATCGGCGAAGCCAAGAGGGACCGTCATCGTCCGCCGCAGCCTCAGCAGTCCTGGCCGCCGTGGATGCCGGGCGCGCACCGCCCGAAGGCTCCTGGGGCAGACGCCGCGTTCAGCGCGGCCAGGGAGGAGGGGGAGAGGAGGGACCACCTCGGCAACTCAAACAAAGCGACCCCGAGCATGAGGCGCCGCGGGACCAGCGCTCGCGGCGCTGCACAAAGCAAAGCCCAACTTTTGGCTGGGCGGGCCTTCAGGGGAAGCCCGGCGAGCGGAGCCGGCCCCGAGCCCCCACGGCTGCCCGCGGCCCCCGCAGCCCCGCGGGCTCCGCTCGCCGCCCGCCCCGCCGCCGGTTCGGGCCCGCGCGCCCACCTTGGCTACCGAAGAGACTCCACAGCTTGGCGAAGATTAGGCCCATGCCTGGCCTCGGCTTTCCGCCGAGCGCCCGGGGTACCCCGAGCTCACCCAGGCGGCGGCGGCGGCGACTCCCCCGGCTCCCTCGGTGGAGGCTCCGCAGCGGCCCCGACAGCGCCGAGCGGGCGCCGCACGGCCCCGCCCCCGCCGGCGCGGCCCGCGCGCGTCACTGCGGCGTCATGGCGGCGGCAGCGTGTCTGAGGGGATAGTTGCCAGCTTTCCACCGGGGCTGGTGGAAAGCCGAGGGGTCTGCGGTCGGCACGCTCGGGAGGACGGAGCCGCCCCGCAAGGGACGAATGCTGCGAGGAGCGCTAGGCCCCCGCCGCGGTGGTCGGTGCCGGGGTGGGAGGCTCTGGCAGCGCGCTTTGGCCCGCCCCGTGTCCTCCAGCCCTGCGGTGCTGTGGCCGGTCCGCGGCCTCTGCCGTTGGGAAGGGTAAAGGGTTTCAGGGCAAGCAGTGCTCCCGTGCACAGTAAAACTTTCGAAAGCAGCGGATTCGCTCTCAGGGCTGTGCTGCAGGTTCCTGTACTGAGCTCTTGCGGGTGTGTCCACCCGGGTTTCCTCCCTAGCAGCACCTTGGGGAGCGTCAGTGAGCACGAACCCGCTCCGCCCTAGCGAGCGAGCCCGCAAGCACTGAGGTGCAGAAGCGGTGGAAGTACAAAACCTTTACTTTAATCCACTCGGCAGAATTTCAGAAAACCAAAAAAAAAGGATAATAATAATTAAAAAATGAAGGGATGTCAGCAACGTCTATATCCGATAAGCTCGGGAGCCCCGCGGGCTCTGCTGGGGTGGGAGCACGGGGGCTGCGCCGCGGCGTGCCCGGCTCCATGGCGACACCGGCGGGCGGCACTTCCTGCTGCCGCCCGGAGGAGGCGGGCCCGGCGGGCCCTGGCGGTAGGTGTGTGTCGGGCGGTGGGTCCGGGTCTGCGCGCCGCTGCGGGCGGGCTGAGCGCCCTCCGGTCCGGTCCGGCCCCTGCGTGTTCCGCCCTTCTCGTGGAGGCCCGTGCCGGACCCGGGCCCGTGCGTGCCTCGGGGTCCGTCGAGGATGAGGCGGCGGTGGCGGTGGCGCGTCCCGCTGGGGTGCGGCCGCCTCCCGGGTACCTCTGGGCTGAGGCGCAGGGTCTCGGGGGACTGGGAAGAGCTGCGCGTCCCGCTCCTCCCCGCTCCCTGATTTTTAAATAACGGGCGGGCGAAGGAATAAAGGAGGGAGCCCCGTATTCCGCTCCCTGCGACAGTGACCGCACTGTGGTTTTCCTCGTGTAGCAGAGGGTAGGCAGGGAGGTTTGAAAAGCTAGCTCGGCATCTCTGGTGCTGGCTGCGTGTGACTGCTGGTAGCGTTCATGTGCGTAGCTGGATAGAAGCCCTGGTCCGGCATCGCGTTCCCCGCTGCAGTGCCCCACAGAGGCACATCAGTGAAAAAAAAAAAAAAGTAAAAATCTTTTCTTCTAAAATCCGTCATAACTTTTCTGGGGCAAGGTGTACGGCACAGCAGGTCTGGAGAAAAAAAATCCCCAAGAATACTCAGGTACTGGCAGCCTGCCTCCTGCTGAGCCTTTGAAGTCTGATTCTTGTACTTGGCAGTAGGGGCACTAGGCAGTGTCGCTCACCAGCCGGGCTTCCTGCTCACTCTGAACTTAAAAGCAGCTGTCCTGTCCCTTAGCTATGTTCCGGAGCCTCAACATTGCCTTCATAATGTAAATATTGAAGTCACAGGGCTTAGAAACACCACATTTCTACGAGTTTTCAAATGTCTGCTTAATTATTTTCAGGATTTCAATTCTTTTAAAAAATTTAGAATGGATGGGATTTTTTGAAAGGCTACTTTATTATGCTTCTGAAGAAAAGCCTTTTGAAATGGTGCCATATGGGGTTTTTTTGGTGAGTTTGTTTGTTTGTTTTTGTAATGTAGGCATTCTAGAACAACAGGCACATGGTATGTCACATTTTCTGAAAAGTTAAATCTGAGCTTTGGTGATTTCAGTTGTATCTGCTGTTAGATTGTAGTGCTATTCTACTATTAGTTTTCCTGGCAATAGCAGGGGAAATTCTTGGCATTTTGTTAGCCTGTAAAAAGAAGTTAATTCAATTACAGATTCTTTCTTTCAATAGCTGCTAATGTTGCCGAATAAGGCTTTGAAATTCCTACTCATGAAACTTGACCTTTGTCTGGTCTCAAAAGTAAGTCTGCATAAGGTCACATTTTTTAGTATTAAGATTTGAATTGAATTGGAAATATTAAAAATAAAAAAATATTCTTGAGGGGTTTTGTATGATAGAAGTGACTAATAATCTCTTATTCAAATAAAATGAATACCAAACATTCTGATCTCTCTAAGTATATTTAGTGCAGTGAAAATGTATTTCAGTAGTCAAAATTCCTTATTATGAATGGAATAAACCTGGAGTGTTGTTCTCTCTTTCCTTCCATTTAAGTTGTTGTAAGCAAATTTAAATTTTTCGGTACTCTCAGACTGAAATGTATATAATTTGTCAAAATTTTTGATGGGTGGGCAGATACCATTTGGGAAGATAACTGTGTTTTATTACCTACAGAGAAAAATGGTGAAGAGTGAAATCTCTATCAGGACTGAGCTACAATAAGACTTTATATCTGGGCTTTTCAAGAGGAATTAAAGCTACATCTTGAAATTTCCTGTACCTTTTATCCATGTATTTTTTTCACCAGATAGCTTGAAGATTTATTTTAAGGATCAGTAGAATTTTTGTAATTGAGAGTAATGTTAGAGTCATATCATGACCAATATTTGGAAATTTGAATGCAATAAAATGGCATTATTAAAATAGGAAGAATCAAAACCAACAGCTTAGTTTGTGGATACATCTTGTGTTAAATTTATAAACTTAAAGAATATGATAATCACGAAGAAAATACTTTGCTTGTTTCAGTTCCTTGCCAGCAGATTTAAAAACTAAAAGAAGATGTCCTTTTTCCCTAAAATCGTTTTCCAATATGAAGTTCAAGAGTATCTCGCCAAAGTGTTCAGAAATAATGAGGTATGTTACATAGTTACCCCTAACCATCACAAAATAATAAATTTTTGTGTAACTTTAATACCTTACAAAAAAATGCTATCTTCACATTAAACACAGACTTTTTAATATAAAATATTTCTATATTTAAAATATAAAATCATCATTTATGCCCATTGGCTCAAAGTAGCATACAAATATTTAAATTAAATTGATTATAAATCAGAGAATTCAGTTTTGGATCCCACTGAGGAGTGGATCATAGATAATTAAGCACATATACACCACATAATATTGAAAAGAAATACTCCTTTACCCAGTGTAGAATACTACAGACAATCTCATTAATTCCTAATGCCAAGGATAAAAAAAATGGCTTTTTAATGTACAGGTTTATCAGTATGAAAGTTACTGATTCATAGATTGGAATTTAGTTTTCCATTTCCTTAGGGCTGGTCTATGCACAATAGCAGAGAGCTCTCTAGCAGTTGCTTTGATACTTGCTGCAAACTGTTTGCAGTGATTTTGCTGATACAGCTGTTTTTCTAATAAGTATTTTTTCAGGAAATTTATAAGGCTTCCAGTGGAATTAGGCTTCCAGACATAGACATTTGTCACTATTTCACACCACACAGCCATATCCCTCAATTGCTACGGAATGTTTATTCAGTTGGGTTCTTTTGCATTGAGCAAGAGGCTTCTGAGTGAATCTCCTGATATAAAATCTCTTCTTTCATTTTCAGCTTATCACTGCTTTAGGTGCACAGGAGGCAGAGAAAAAATACCAGTCTCTGTTAAGTCATCTATCTCATCCACCAGCTTTTACAACTGTTAGAGTAAATACCCACTTGGCCTCAGTGAAACATGTGAAAAAATTGCTGTTTGAAGAGATCCAGAAGGTTTGTGCAATTTCTTTGTTACAGCAAAAACAGCAGGGTATTTCATCTTTCATCTGAACATGAGACCTTTTCATTACTGAAAACTGTACCTTACCTCAATGCATCCAGTGGTATTAACATAATTCAATCACACTGATTTCCTGCCAGCATTAAACATTAAATGAAAATTTATTGTGTACCAGTATTCCGCATGTCATCCCTCCAAGAAAGGCAATAACAGAGGGAAAAGGCATCCAACTCTTTTTTTGTATGGCAGATCTAAACCCTTGATAGGATTGATAGGATTTGCTGTGGTAAATAATGTAAATGTGTCATAGGTTGGTAAGAGAAGATGACAGATAAAAAGTGTACCTCAGTGTGCTGTCTTCAGCATGCTTAGAAGTTTTGTTTAATACTGAAGGAGAATGCCTGTATATCTAGATATCATTGGAGAAACTGTTCAGGAAAGTGGGAAAATTGGTATGTTTTGGAAATTGGAGCCATGGTGATGCTTTGGAGCCACTGTATTTTCTTTATTTAAACCTTACAATACAAATTATACAAATTATACAAATTATCCTTGTATAATTTTCTGGATTTTCACTTCTCTTAATTAAACATTTATTTATCCGGTAATACGTAAACAATTATGTTTAAGAAATGTATTATTTTGAAATTGTGTTCTAGATCTTCACTCTGTCTAAAAAAGATCTGGTTCTTTAAGTAAATCATTAATGCTAGTGGGTGTACAGGGAGCTTTTGCATGACAGGAGCCAAGACATTTCTGTGATGCAGAGGGAGTTGACAGTGTTCTGCTGGCTGGGATGATAATGTGTTCTGCTAATTTTATTTTGATTGTAGAAGTCTGGAAATGGATATTGCAGGGTTATATTTTGTTTCAAGGGAAAAGGCTTTGCTGAAAACTGACTTCAGACCAGCTTTTCAATAACTTATTGTATTTTTAAATGTGATTACATGATAGAAAAGGAAATCACATAATGCTTTTGAACAAAAGTATCATCATAGATTGTTGCCTTTGCTAAGAGAAAATACTTGTTTATTTGATGCAAGCTGATTTATGGTTTTACATACTTTAAGGTTATATTTTAGAAGGCTCAGATGAGAAGACATAATTTTGTTTAAATCCTGGAATCTTTATAAAACGGCAATTTTTTATTCAGCTAAATACATAACTCACCTAACAGTGCCCAAACTGGGCCTGACAAGAAAAATGAAAAGTATTGCCAGCATGGCCTATTATGTAAGACAAACAATTACTGAGTGGAGTTAAACAGTGGCTTGTACTAATAACGTTTGAGAGTTAACACAGAATACACCCAAGCTTCTAAGGTGGTGTCACCGTGTGTTCTGACAACAACTCAATCTTCTTCCAGAAGAAAGCAAAAACCAGTGATTGGGTTATGAGTGTCAGAACACTCTCCCACTCCCTGAAGTAATTTCTCAGTCAATCTCTTAGTGGTCTTGTTATTTCTGAATTTGTTGAATGTTTAGTCTTTTGCACCAGTACTTTTAATATATAATGCCCCCTTGCACACTATTTCCCAGCTGCTTTTAACTGTTGTCACTACTTTTGTGTTTTGTGCTCTACACCTAGAAATTATGAATGGAAAAATGGGTTTCAATTGAATTAAGTGTGTAAATATTAAGTTTATTACTAGTGCTTACTAATTATATTTTTTAATGAAACAGCAATTTAAAGGACTATGTGTTCCAGTTCTCGAGCACCCAAAACTTCAGGACATTTTACTAATTCCTGTCATTGGACCCAGGTTTGAAATTTTCAGTCTTTAGCCTTAAAATGTTGTGTAACACAGTTTTCTTACATATTTCTTGTTAAACAGTTATAATAACTAACTCTCTATAACTGAGACACAACTTCATTTGTATTATGACCTGGTGGCCAGTCCATACACTAACCAGGTCAGAGTTTTAGTCCTAAAAAATGAAAGAAAACATAGAGTTCTCTCCTTATTTATAAGACTAATATTTTAGGGGAAAAAGTGACATGTATGCATCCTCCCTGGAAAGCCAGGTAGGTGGCAGATAGAAGAGCCAAACTTTTGTGGTGGAATACAGAAACTATGGATAAGTACAGGCAGTTTTCTTCCACTGGAAGAAATCAAGTGAAATCAAGAGTTCCTCAGCAGCTGTTAAACACAAAGTCACTTCACAATCATCTGGCATAGGAAGGGATAGAGGACTATTTCTCCATCCCAGTATAATTTATTTGTATTCCTGTATCAGGTTCATAGTAGTGGCAGAATGTGCCAGAATCTGCATTATTTTGAGGATTGGTTTTCTTCTTGACTCTTTCCTGTGATTTCTCTAGAACTAAAATAAATATTTTAAATGTAATACATGGTACTTAACTACCTTTTCTCTATTATATCTGATAAAAACCATATTTGTGAACTAGAGTTTACTTGGGGAGTGTTTGGCTTTTTTTTCAGTATACTTTTCTTTTTTACTCAACTGCATTTTGTATTTCTAGGCGAGATTTAAAAAAACATGCATCTGAAGTCATAGTTGGATCCCAGTGTGGATATGCAGTACTTCGAGGAGCACACGTTTATGTACCTGGAATTGTATCTACCTCAAGATGTAAGAGTTCTCTAAATACACCCAATTATGTTGTAAAGATGGCAGAAAAAGTGTCACCCTTGAATAACAGATAAATGAATAGTGACACAAAGTTGTTTTCTATTCTCAGCTGAAATTAATTTTACAGTTGTGGTTCATGGCGATGAGACTTTTAAAAGTTTTTCTGGCTTTTTTTCTTTTATATTTTCACTATTTTTCATTTTACTTATAGTAAGTTATATGTAATTATTTCTCACTGGCCTGGCCTGTTTTAAGTTCCTTTTTCCATATAATTCGTGGCTGAAGTATTAGTTCTCAAGAATTTCAATTTCATTTCAAAATATTTTTAAAGAGAATTTTCAAAATAAAACCAGTAAAACCTGGTTTTTTAATGAGTGTTTTTACTACTAAATACTGTAACTTTTAATAAGGATATTAAGTTGAATAAAGTTACAAAAGTTGGTTGCTTAAAAAAAAAAAAAACAAAAAGGATACCACCTCTGCATGGTGACTAGGTGTGTCTTGATTATTTAATAGACACAGATTTTTTATTTCTTCACTCAGTCCTAGAGCCACTTACCCTGATTTAAGTTACAAATCAAAAAAAACCCACATTTTTTTTTTCTAATCCATTGGCGAATCATTTGTTTATCTAAGAGAGATGTAGTAAAAATATATTTTTCATTGATGAGAAGAAATTTATGTCAGTTTTTATGTCAAATTCTTAAGAAATGGAAATTATGCATCAATGCCTGTGAAACAAGATTAAAAAAAATCTACATATGCATGCTTTTTGTTCAGCAACCTATTTTTGTTCTTTAAATGTCAAATTAACTTTATGTAAAACCAGTATAATTTTGGATGATTCACCTTATTAGTCTATTGTGATGAGATCTAGTGATCATCTTGATTCTTATTATTAAACAAAATGAGTCAGAAAAGCATTTATCAAGTCACTTCATTTCCTTTCAGGAAAAAACCTTCAAGAAGTTTTAAGCATGTGCTTAAGTCCAATTCACTGAACAGGAATGTTTTTCAGTCTAGGGCTTGATCATGAAATAAGTACATTGGCATAGCAGTTGTTAGAACTGCTTATTTAGAGAACCCCATAAATATTCAAATTCTTCTTTGAGTCAGCTAGTGATTTATCATAATTGCCACTTGTAATTATGCATGTAATATCAATTCAAAGAAAATAAAGATACTATAAAACTTAAGGAACACTTCAGGGGAATTGCAGATAAGAAAATAAAATAAAAGGGCACACTACCCACTTGATGCCAAATATAATAAAACTGTATTAAGCACAGATGGTCTAACTAGGAAAAAAATAGTCCATCAAGAAAACATTTAATCACTGAACTTGCAATCCAAATGAGTGTAAACTAATGATCAGGGGGCTTTGAGCTTAATTTAACTAATCAAACTCTAACCTTTATGTTTGTGGAATGCTGCTATAATCTACAGAAAACTTAAAAATCCTATGCAGGACTAGTGTATTTTGAAAGGATGATTGTCAGCAGAGAGTGAAATAAAATAATTTATGTTTGAATACTGCAAAAATCTTTGACAGATATGGAAGAGTTAAATTGCTGCAGGTTTTTGTTCAGTGAAGTTTAAGCAGACATTAATACTGAGCAATCACATAATGGTTTGTGTCGCATTGTGTAAAAATAAATAGTGTAAAAAATTTATTTTCAATGGCTACCCAACAAACACTACAATTTAAGAATTTCAGGACATTTGGGCATAATCAGAAACCTGAAAATGGGGAAAAGTATTCTCTGGTACAATCCGAGAACTCTTGGGAAGCTGAACTGCCATTAGTCTTGTTATATCTTCTTGTTCCTCTAGCCTGTCAGCACCTCAGAAGTGCAATTTTGGAAATTTTTTTATTGCTATCAGAAGAGGCCTTTATTTTTAAGCATATTTTTCAGCCAGTCAACACATAGCACTTGTTCACTATTATGTAAAATCACCTAAACCATCCCTTTTATATTTTTTTTCCGAACTCAGAAAGTTTGTTAAGTCTGTAGGATTACACTTAGAGTTTGGTGTATATTTACGTATTTTACTGATCTAGTGGGTTTTAATTGGAGATATAAAACACTCTAAGAAGATTATTGAGAACAGCAATTCTCTTAAAGGGAAGAGAGCCAGACCAGAACAAGAATATATAATCACTTGTGTCAAAGCAATAAGTAGTTACAGAAAAAGCAGCTATAGCTATGTTCTAGGTGGCTATTGAGAGGTCATTAGATAAATTTAGTACTCCTGCCTTTCTTCAGTAAGGGTGAGCAGTGTTATTTCACGTACTTGTGTGCTTGGAGCACACGTAGGGGACTGGATCCTGAAAGGTGTGCCTAAAACTTTTGGGTGACCTTGCCTTGATAAAATAAAATGCAGGTTTGTGTAGCCTCTTGGAAAACAAGACACAGTGCCTGACTTGCACCTTGGTGTCTCTCAGTACCTCCAGTGATTTGGTAGCTGTCATTCACTGTGTAAAACTTTAAAGCTTTATATCAGTTGATCTTCTTTGATTACATTTAGAAAGTGTGAAGTTTGGTATGATAGAAGAGTTGAAATAAGTAGTCTACTGAAAATCCTAAGTTACTTGGTCACTACTGTTTTGTTAAATGTCTTAATGATTTCGAGCTTTCCATTTTCCTTTGTGCAGTTGTGAAAGCTGGAGATCTGGTTTCAGTGTACTCAGATATTGAAGGGAAATGCAAAAGAGGAGCCAAAGAATTCGATGGAGTCAAAGTTTTCCTTGGAAATGGGATTTCAGAACTCAGCCGCAGTGAAATCTTCAGTTCAAGTGGCCCATTGAAGTAAGTCCATTGTAATTGCAATCTACGTGTAAAAATTTGCGAAGGGAAGGAAGAAGGGGAAACACTTTGAATTATTTTGTACCCTATGTGAAGTCAGAAGGTGGCATTACACATTGGGATTTCCAATATGTTTTGGTAAGCTGTTAGTTTCATAGTGGGATTCAGATACCAATTTACTTGAGAGGTAGGAGGAAATAAGTGGGAGTCTTTTAATAATTTATGTTTATTCAGTTCAATAATATCAAACAGAACTGACAAATGTTCTCACTCTGGCAAAATTGCATTTTGGTGAATTGTGTTGTACTACTTCCCTCTTTGGATGGAACAGAAGTGCAGCCTTGTCAATTTCTCCATCTTTTAAAAATATCTGTAGAGGCTCTTTTTTTTTTTGGCGTGACAAAGGACAGAACATTAGGTCGGGTATCTTAAAAAAATTATTAACATTTGCCAAAGTAGTTACCTATTTCAAGATTACTTGCTGTTCTATTTTGTTGGTGAAGCATATGGTTTATTCCTCTTGTGTCACCTAAAACACATAGAAAAAGTAATGTAAAAGACTGTGGATGTCAAATTAATGACCAAGACTTTACTTCCTGAGAACAAGCTACAAAAGTTCTTTTGAAAAAAGTACATTTCCAGAGAATTTCTGATTTATGAGAGCTTAAACGTAGTAGGAGTAGTGGTAGGATGTAGCTGTTGAGTTGCTGACATGGAACAGCAGTATGTAACACTAAATCTGGTGTCTGCAAGTTTGCTTTCTCATATCCTTTCTTCCCATTGGACTGTCCAGTACAGAGGCAAAATAATACTCTTTCTCTTTAGTAATCTTTTGTTTGTAGACTCAGAGTTGCTTTTGCATAGTTTTCTCTTTATTGTTATCCATTTCCTAGTACATTGGTTTAACAATTATATCTGCGACACAATTTCATCCCTATTTAAAACTTTTAGGTGACTTCTAATTTCAAACCATAGCTTTGCAGGCAAATCAATGCTCTTGCAAGGCTTTTCATATAGGATTTCTGTAGTAATTTGACTGAAATCTCAGGAATTTAGGAAATGGAGAAAAATCTAACTAGGAAATCACATGCCAGTGCTCTAGTGCATACACATGGCTCGCCAAAAGCAGTTATGGATTGAAGTTAAGATATTTAGGTCTGGTTTTATGCATTTCTTTACAGTATCAAGGCTTGAATTACATCTTGGTTTATCCTGTGTACAGAACCAGAAATTTGCTTTATGTAATTTTACAGATGGTTCCAATTTATTGTGTAATTATTTTTTGCCATGATTTACTCAACTTAATGATGTCATTTTAGAGAATATCATATTACAAAATCATAGAAGTATTTTTCTTGGTTGTTCTTTCATTCTTGTAAGATTGTTGTCTCAGGTTGCTATTTGTAAGCATGATGATTATAATTGACTACTGTTAAGATGCATAAAACTGAGTAATAGAATGTTTTTTTTCATGTTTTTCAGGGGGCTGGGCATAAGAATGATAGAGCCAGTCTACCTTAGTCCTTCATTTGACAATGTGCTCCCTAGTCATTTGTTTTTACAGGTATGTTTGTTCCAACACCAAAAGTCTGTACTATTTACAGAATAATGAATATTCTCTTGGCACACATTCATGGTTTCTACATTCCTTGTGCTTTGTAGCACCTAATTCAGTCTTTGGATGTGAGGAACACAAAGCATTTAAAATTAAGTCAGTATCTACATGTAGGTGGTTTAATCATACTGTGTCTGAGAGTTGATAAGGGATTTCAAAGCAACATAAGAGATATTCACTTAAAAACGTAGAAATTCCTCTTGCACAGATACTCTGCATAGAACTATTAGTTTTTGGAATTTGCCTATGAACCCTGCAATATGAGCCCCTTTCAAGGTACATAATTCTGTAGATAATCAGGAAAATCTCCAAATATTAGGTTGATTTGAAGCTGTTATTTAAGTATTAAAGACAACTTTAAAAGGTTTTTATACCTTTGTGTTGAACCTAAGAAGAAAGTATTTCCGTATTGTCTAAAGTGCAGTACTATGCACAATTATTGCACATTATTTCTCTTCAGTGCAGCCGTTCTGTTTATACAATTAATAGCACAGTTCAGCTTCTTGCTACTTTAATTCAGCAAGCTTAGACTTCTGCAGTTTGATCTGCACCAATATGTTAATACAGGAAATATTCCAATAAACAGGTTAATATAAAGTATTTTTAATAAACAGAGCTGCTGTGCTCTGTGCCAGTATCAGCTTATTTTAGTTGGACTTTTAGCACTGTAGTCTCCGCAGTCATGAGCTCTTAAGCTTCAGTCATAAATACTCAGACATAGCTTTAAATAAAAAATGAGCCACTGGAGACTACTTACGTACTATCTGTTATATATAATACAAATAGTTCATTTTCTGTCAAAGAACTGAGAGCATTATCATAGGTGTCTTCCCTGCTGAATGAATTGTATTTTTAAATGTGCTTGCCATTCCTTAATAAAGGAGTTGGTGCAGGGTTTAAAGTTTGAATTCTCCCATATTTGTTTTTATTACAGAATTTACCTTCTGTGGTTGTGAGCCATATTTTAGACCCTCAACCAGGAGAGAAAATTTTGGATATGTGTGCTGCACCTGGAGGAAAAACAACCCATCTTGCAACACTAATGCATGATCAGGTAAGAGAAGTAATTTGGCATTTTCTAAGGAAGAAAGTCTGATCGCTGTTCATTTGTATAGCTCTCTTCACTTAACTATTAGAATGCACAGATAATTTACAGCAGCAAAAAATTAATATTTTGACATTTTACTTACCAGTGTATTTTGCTACACATCAGTTACTGAAATGGGCAACAGACAGTCTTTATTAAGTATTCACCATCAGCTATAAAATCTTATTTGCTACAGATTGATAGTTGAAATTTATCTAATTTCACTTTTTAAAATGTTATTGAATTATTTTTAATAATAGAATTTTTTACATGCAAGGGATAGTTATGCAAGGATATGCTGGATTCATGAAACTGAGATGCATAAAAATCAGGGGTTACTACTGTGTGCCAGAGAAACACAACTCTCTACAAAAACTTACTAAAATATTTCTAATCCAATTAGGATTGTTCTCAGTAAAAATTATCAATTCTGCATAGAGTAGGCTGAATTTCTATCACTCTATGGTAGAATGTCACAAAATCCAAAACTATCTAATGAGAAAGCAATAAAAATTAGAAGAAACAAAAAGTATGTAGAGAAAGACAAAGGAAAGGAGAATGTAATAAAGTAAGAGTGTAAAAATATAGGATTACAGCTTTGCGTATGTTGAAGTGTTATGTGCACAGTGAAATACAGAAATGCAGGTTACTCTTCTCTAGCAGAGGGGAAAAGCATGTAATATTTCCTCTAAATTTTTGTAAGGCTTTATTATTTTTATTGAAATAGGGTTATTAGAATATATCAGATTGTTTAGAAGTCTTGCAGTTAGATTATGCAGTACTTTGACAGGTGCCTGTGCATAAATGTGAAGGCACAGCATGTAATGGTATGAATGCATTGAGAAAAGGCCTGTATTCAGTTCTGTGATGGTTTGTCTGTAGAAGTGTTTTTTTTCCATCAGTATGGAACAATGGGAAGGCATTAAAAATGCATTAGACAGTCATTAGACATTATACATATATAAAGCTTCCAGTAAAGATTTCAGTGTGATAAATAAAGGAAGTCTGCAAATCATATATTTATGTAATGGTTTCATTTACATCTGTATTTTTTTCCATCTGTGTATCTACACTTAGTATAAATTTGCAAAACTACTTTTTCTTTATTCACTTCACATATTTTGATTGTGCTTGCCTGCAGCTAATGTGGTAAAGATTAAGAATACAGATGGTAAATATTTATCTCACTTGATTTTCATTTTCTGAGTATATAATTTAATTTAAGATATGGAAGATAAAGGTATGGAAAAAAAACACTTATTTTTTAAGAATGTGGATTTTAAATTCCATTCACAGATTTTCCATACTGATGCTTCACAGCATATTAAACCATTAACATTTCAGAAGATTTAAATCACTTTTTTGTGATATAATTGTAAACATTTCTATATTGTTTTTAAATTATATAACCAGGATGTAAGATTACTCTGTAATGTTAAGAACTCTAAAATAAGATTAGGGAATACTTAAAGCTTGAGAATTTATTATTAACTGCATCCCAGTCTAGACCACTGTTTTTTCCAGATGACTCCTAAGTAGTTGTTCTGGCAGTGGCTGGCATGGGCCAAATGGAGAAGAGTTGTCTTGCAGCTTGTTCTTTTCTCTGGAGAAAAGAACAGAGAAGCTGTGAATAGTCCATCCCTCAAAGTGTTCAAGGCCAGCTTGGATGGGGCTCTGAGCAACCTGCTCTAGTGAAAGGTGTCCCTGCTCATGGCAGGTTGGTTGAGCTAGATAATCTTGAAGATCCCTTCCAACCCAAACCATTCTATGATTCTATCATCTCTTTATCTCTACAGTACGGAGAGATGTCCAGCAAATCCACTGTTATTGCAACAGACAAACCTTTGAAGCCCAGTCAGGTCCTAGAGCACGTGCAATAGGTTGAATGGTGCTTGGGGACAAGCAGGAGGTGATTTGGCTCACAGCACTGAAGACTGGACACCACTGACACAACCTAAATCCATTCTTACCTCTCAGTCTTAGACCTGCATATTGTCTAACATGACATACAGATAGCAGCTTATCTTTACTGATTTTCTTTTTTTACTTTTTAAACTATCTTAGTCATTTTACCGTTCTAGAGGCCTTTAGGGGAGCCATCACCAAATAGAAAAAGTTGTTCTCTCAGTGTACTGTGTTTGCTGTATCAAGTCTACTACAAGTTTTTGGTCAGGTTGTTCTGTTCTGGATTTTACTTATGCTACTTTTCCCTTTCCTTTGTGTTCACAGATTTCATGTAGCAGGTAGTGGTGTGTGTCTTTTTTGATTTATTTTGGGGGAGGAAAAAAAAATCTTATTTTTACATAACAGGAATCGTTTAATTGTGATTTCCCTTCCCTCACCTCTAAACTTATTCTAGTATTTACACTATTTCCTGAAGTTACTTGAATGACAATAACTGCAAGTATTCCAATATGTTATGAGCAAGTCTGAGCAAGTCAGAGACGTTGCTGTGGGTCTCATTTCCTCAGCACTGAGCTGTAGTGTGATCATATTTCCTACCCTCTCCATACAAATTTAAAACCTGTTGACCCATTTAACTATGTATTTGAGGCTTCTACCCTCATTCAAATGATTAAATTTTTATTTTAGTGCCCAGTTCTGCAGTTCAAAGGAAACTAAAAGAAACAAACAACAAAACCACTTGCCAGAAGTCAGATATTACAGCATCCCTTAGAGTGACAGTGCCAAACAGTTGGAATGTGCGCAGCTTCAGACTAATGTGGCTATTGTGGAAAACGTGGGGACAAGGAGTGCAGGAGTGTGGATTTAAAAATAAAATAGTTCTGTAGGGAAGACTGTGCTTTATCTATTACACTGCCAGGGTTGAGGAAAGGAAATCGGAAACATCCATTTAATCCCTATGCTTTTGATGAAAACTTTGGGATTTTTTTCAGGGTGAAGTTATAGCCATGGACAAGATAGCTAACAAGGTCAAGAAAATCAAGCAGAATGCTGAATTGCTACAGTTGAATTGCATTAAGGCCTTTTGCTATGATGGAACAAAGGCCCTTTCAGTAGAGGAGAGAGAGGATAAACAAGGTAAAATAAACAATTTGGGTAGTAGCTTTTAGAAGAAAATGGTAATGTTTTGCAAAAACAGTATTAAACCTGTCACAGGTTTACAAGTTCTTGAAATCTTGGCAGATACCTAAGTTGCTTCAGCACTGTGAATGCACTTCTATTTTCTACTCTTTTGTGATTATCAGCTTCTCTATGAAGCAAATAGAAAGTCAAATTATCTGTCATTGTCACAACATAATATTCTCAAAGAAAATGCATTCCTTTCCCAGATAATATTGAAGACTGAAGAAGCCTTAAAGTTTCTTTCATGATCACATTTAACCCCATACTGGGAAGTTTATGGGCTAGTCTGAGAAAAAAAATTATTTTTGCAGACTTGCTTCACTTTTCTGCCTCATAATCCTCATCAGTAAAATGGGGTTATTAATACCTAACTCCCAGGAGTGCTGCAAGGTTTGTTTCATCGATGTTTATTCAGCTGTTCAAGGGAAAGTTATATATACAAGCACAGTGTATTATTTTAAGTAATTTCATTTGCTTTTTGAAGCGATGCAGTTACAATATTGGTTCTGTTCCCATGATGGAATGATTTAAATGGTATCTGCTGCCTTGATTATTTTTAGTTTGTTGTGCAAAGTACGCTGTTCTTTCTCAGTCTATTTTATCTCAGTCACTGGTTAGGCTAAGTAGGAATCAGATTACATAATTCACCTTCTTTGTCCCTATGCATTGCAGTTATTCCTCCTTTGGAGGAACAAAGGTACTTTCTTAGGAGTCTTTTTATGAACATCAAATATTGTAGGTGGCAAGTAGCAATTACAGAGATTAACAAGAGCAAGCTGTAATACTGAGAGATAATGAAGGCTTTTCTGTACATTCCTGAAAGTAACACATTACATATTTTGAACATTTTAGTAATGGATCAGAGATAGATAAACCAGATAGACTCATTTTGTAGTCAGGAAAAAGCTAGATAGCAGTAGTGTGATAATACAAGTTTGGCAGCAGTGATGCTGAGCCATTCTCTCTAGCACTGAGGAGATAGAAACTTCTGGGCTGTTGAGCCATTGGGGTACAGATTAAAGGATAGGCTCTGCATATGGAAGATATATATTGTCATCTAGGTAACAGTCAGAAATTGTTCTCTTCAAAATCCTTTTCATAATGAATTGTTTGTCCACGAGAAGTTGCAGTAGTTCATGTGATTATGAGGTGCTTTATTTTATATTGCTATGCATACATCACAAGAAATAGTTATTATGGACATTAATACAGACAGTCCAATTGTTATAAGGCAGTCTCAGTGATTAACTACGGGTTTGTCTCAGTAAAGGTTTGCACACTTTTGAGCTGACTGTGGTTCTTTACAGCCTATATGTGCAACTCTGCACCCAGCACTTCTGACCAATCATATTTCAACTAGTTTGATTACTTTTACATTTTACTTTAAAATTACTAAATTAAGTTAAAAAAATTGCCTAGTGGAATAGTTTTTGAGCTCATAGAACTTAAACTGTTCAGTTTTCTGGGAGATTAAAACTACCACCAGCAGTGCTGAGGCTTGCCTCTAGCTAAAACTACTTTTGCAGACACTGTCTATAGCACATAAATGTTTTATGTCAAGGAAGCAGTAACAGCTTCTCCTTACCTACGGTGAAATCTCAAGGAAGGAAACAGCCACATTTTACATTAATGACTGCTTTTCACAGAAGGACCTCCATTCTTACCAGAGTCATTTGATCGAATTCTTCTTGATGCTCCATGTAGTGGAATGGGACAGAGACCAAACATGGCTTATTCCTCAACTTTAAAGGAAGTGACCTCATATCAGCCACTACAGCGCAAGCTTTTCTCTGTGGTATGTGTTAAACACTGAGTAGATAAGCTAAGTTGAACACAAATGCTTTTGCAGCATAAAACTTACCCAAAAAATGGTGCCTCATTTTCCCTGCTTTGCAGCCAGGAAGTATTAGGGTCTTGTTAACCTCTCAGCTCCACCAGATCTTTTGCTAGGTGAAGGCAATTCATTGGAGCATGGTAGAGGTCTATGTAATCCATAATAAATAAAAAGCTTTGTGTTTTTTTACATCATTATTTTACATGATAATAATTACAAAGGTCTAAGTCACGGAGCAGGTGACTTAGGAACATGCTAAGGAGTGTGCTTGGGCTGATGCTGAAGGATAAGGTGAAACTTACCAAATCTGAATGATACATACTCAAAGTGAATGACAGCTTGAAAAGCAGCATATATATAGCTTCCATGCCAAATACATGGAAACAGTTGACACCTAATATAACTGACATAAGTATTGTGTATCCATGGTTGGCAGCAGGTGGTGAAAACAGATCTAATCTGTCTGGGGTATGCAGAGCTGTACAAATAACAAATCTTACAAGGTGAGTCATCTCAATGACATTAATAAACTGCATGAGCTACAATGCCTCTTTTGAAAGAATCTTTCTAATCCATGTTATCCTTTGCTGTATTCCCTGAGAGGAATTAGTATCTTAACAGTTTGAGTTTAATTAAGTGTTCAGTTTTAATATTCTAGGTGCATGGGTTATTAGTTAATGTTGCTAAATATGAAAGTTTGAAATTTAAAAATAAGCTGAAATATTGTTTATTTCTCCCTGCAGGCAGTGAAGTTGCTGAAGCCAGGAGGTGTTTTAGTATATAGTACATGTACAATTACACTTTCTGAAAATGAGGAGCAAGTTGCTTGGGCCCTGAAAACTTTTCCATGCCTCCAGCTTCATCCACAGGTAATGCTATTTTCAGGGTACTTCACACAATCTAGTGATCTTATTTTTGAACTATAAAGTTACATGCTATATTTGCTATCAATAAATCTTTTTATCACCATGGAAAATTTTAACTGCTGTGGATAGAAATAACAGAAGGATTTCTGAGGCTTTTTTTTAAAGTAGGTTTTTGTGCCTTAATTGAGCTTTATTGAGGCATCATTACGTATTTTCCTACTCTATATTGTGAGGTTTTTTTTGATTTGTACAACAGTCTTTTAAAACACAACAGGGACGAAAGATAGGTTGTACAGGTTAAAATTTCTCTTGCAATTTCTTTAAAGCACATATATTTTATTCTCTTCTTTTGCACATTCAAAGGAGAGGTGAAATTTCGGGGTTTTTTTGTTAATGCCACTGAAGTCATGAAGACTTGCATATAAAGTGTGGGACATAAATGAAAATAAATTTTTGTTTCAAAGAAGGAGGATGTTATATATATGGGACCTATTTTTCATTTATTTAAAAGGAATGAGGGAAAGAAATTATTTCAGGTTCAATGTCCCAAGAAGGTACCTTGTCTTTTTTAGAGTCAGTGTCTACCATTAAGATGTCTGGGAGGAGGTAATATATCTATACTAGCTACAGTTCATACAATTCAGAAATATCTGTTACTTTTATAGTACTTCAGGGGGGTTTATCATCAGACCACGTGTGTCCCACTCCCTCTTTGATGAGGAGTTGGGTGTGGTAGTTGTTTATCATCATGGCTTTGAGGAAAAGTCTAACTCTGATACCTGTTTGGCTTACACATTCTGTGATTACTTGTACCTGTCTTAAGAAGCTTAGATGAATCTTCAACTGAAATTAAAAAAAAATATACAATAGCTGTACAATGAGAAATTAATATGATGGCTGATAAAGATTTAACAGAACTGAAGCTCTTCATCAAAGCTTTTTATGGTGTGTTCTTATGTCTATATTCTCACCATCCATTCACTAAGAATTTTTCAGTTCCAGGCATTTCAACTGAGATTATACATTCAGCATAACAGCATAAAAAAATCCTCCTGGATAGAATGACAGAGTGAAACATAAGCCTTATTAAGTCAAATGCAAGATTAATTCTTGCTATATAAACTTTCTCTCACCAGTAATATCAGTCTTGAATAAAGCACTGTTTTTCACACACACATGCCATATCTGTAAAAATTAATCTTTTACGTATAGTATATTTTAAATGAGATGACATTGAATTGTTTACCCACATATAATTTATAATACCTTATTACCAGGTCCCTACCAGTGTAAACTAAGGTGATATTTTTTAATGAACATTAAACAGGAGTCTACAATCTACTTACCTCATGTTCTTTTATGTATTTATTTTCCATATTCTTTCGTCTCAGTGGACGCCTCCTTTTTTATCCAGTCCACTGTTTCCCACTTCCTCATTTTGGCAACAGACCTTGGAAGCACATATATTGGGTAATGTGGGCAAGGAAAAAACAGGAGATGGAGCCATAAGCATTGTTCTTGTAGGTGGAGGTTACCACATGGCAGCTGCTCCTTTGTGCAGACTTCCTCTTAGGAGTTTACAAAGGAGATACTGTAGATTAGCTTAAATGCAGTAACTTAACTGGAAGGAAAAATGAAAAGGTAGAGGAGGACACTGGTCTGCCTTTAAGCAAGTTACTTGAACCTGTGGAATACTGTTTTCCCTAGACTTTTACCTTTCCTTCTTTCTATTACATCAAGTTGCTCCCCTTGTCTCCCTTTGTATGTTACTTTTCTCTCAATTTACAATAGACACCTGTGTTTGTCTTTTACCTGGAAAGCATTAAAATCCTGCTGAGGGAAAGGAAGAATCAGTCTGCAGCCCCTTGGCTGCCCAGCTCTCCAGCATGCAGTACGTGGTTAAGCAGCTAACTCGCATCATGTGCTGACTGCGTGAGCTCATGTGTTAGCAAAGTGTGATGGCTGAAAAAACACTCTGCTGTAGGCTGCATTATGGACTACATTAGACTAGATTGACAAAGGAGATCTATTTTTGATATTGCAGTGCCAGCTTTTGCACACTTTGTTCCATCTCGTTACTGAATGCATTGAAAGAACAATCCAGCTAAGAATTAATTTTTTTCCCAGGAATTAGGGTATTAAATAAGAAGCGGTCAAGGCTATTGACAAGAAATATTGAGAAGAGGGCTGGGATTTTAAGTTCTCCTCTCCAGGATTTTGAAGCCTGATGTCATCTCTTGAAATTGATTCTTCCTCTTCTTCTCTGCATCATAGACAGGCACATGTAATGGTAGTCCTATTTACCTTTTAGTCTTATTAAATTACTAGAAAACTCAAAGGTTATGTTTTTCTGCTGCATCATCTGCCAAAATGATGCCTCTTCAGGCAGTAAAATGTTCTGGACTGGGGCTTTAAGTCTCTCCAGTTGAATTTTTTACTGTGAAGAATCCCAGTATTTTAGGTTGGACATCAGGAAGAAGTTCTTTACAGAAAGGGTGACTGAGTGTTGGAATGGGCTGCCCAGGGAGGTGGTAGAGTCACAGTCCCTGTGGGTATTTAAGGGAAGATTTGACTGCAGTTGGTGCCATGGTACAGTTGACAAGGTGGTATTAGGTCATAGGTTGAACTTGATTTCCGAGGTCTTTTCCAACCTAGCTGTCTCTGGAATTCTACTGGTGTTACTGATGATACTGGTAATGGGCTAAGGACTCCCTATTTTTGACTTAACTCATAGCTATTAAGTCAGTACACAGAAGTGCTGAATCATTTAGAAGTGGCAACCCTTTAGACTGGCTGTCTGCTGGTAACAGCTTTCTTGGAATGTTTCAGCCCTTGGAGTGCTAAGTTGTTTTAGACCTGTGCACCTATCCTTAAAAAGTACTCTAAGCTACAGAGATAAAAGTGGATGAGGGGCATCATTACCTCCTCAAAATACTTGTATATATCTTGTCTAAATCTTCTATATATGTTTGAATAATATTGGCCAGATGAAGGCAAGAAGAACCACATTACTTCTGGATCTTCTGGTGTGAATGATACAAGCACAGCTTGTCCATGTGAATTCTTCGGTATCTCTGCATATCCTCAGCAGAATACATTTAGGGCATTTAAGAATTTTAGAGATGCAATAATTTGCTTTTCTTTGTTACTTGATCAGGAACCTCATATTGGAGGAGAAGGCATGAAGGGAGCTGGACTATCACTTGATCAGTTGAAGCTGCTGCAGAGATTTGATCCATCTGCTGTGACATTGCCAGGAATGGATATTAATTCTTTGCAAGATTTCACAGAAGATGACCTGATTTCTTTGGCAAATAAAGACTGTATAGGATTTTTCATTGCTAAATTTATTAAATCGAACAGTAAATAAGGATTTGGGAATGCAACCTGAAAAAATACCTCAGTGAGTCTAAGAACAGCTCAGACGTGAAGTGCCTTTCTTCCTGCTGCAATGTTACCAAGCCAACGGGCTGACGGCAGGGTTGCTATGGCAGCACTAAAATCTGCCAGCTGTTCTGATGGGAAAGAGCCACAAGTTGCAGCAGAAAAGTCATGGCTGGGGGAAGGGTAGTATCATTTGTAAGTCTCCCTCTGCTTTTGTATTTACAGCAGGTCAGTGCCTGAATGACAACTGCGTTCACTCAGACTGCTGTCTGCTCTGGTTTCCCCTTATCTGGTGCAGCAAGCGTAGGAAGGGGATGTAAGCTACTTTACAAAATGCAAACATAAAAAAATAGATGGGAGCTATTACAATGAATTTTGGAAAGGGTGGTTTCTATGGAGGTTTACCAATAGTTAGTTTCCTTAAATAGTGCTTCTCAAAACATTGCAACATTTTACAAAAAACTGTTTTATAAATTGATACTTAGAACCTCATTTCTCTTTTATTTTAATACAAGCAAGATTCTCTGTACACATAGTATATACACAAAATACGATTAGGCTTTGTAGCATGTCTTTTATAGCAGCATGAATATATTAAACCATCTCACTCTGGGAATGTAAATAAATATTGTTTCAACATCAAACTTCCCATGCATAAACTGTATTGGTTCTGAAATAGCCTATTGGACTGGCTGACAAGTGACAGTTTTAAAGTCAAACATTTGTAACAGAAGGGGCTACAATTATGATTAATATCAAAAGACAGAAAACAATGCATAATACCATCTGAAATGTTGCAAATCACCTTTCAAACAACTAAGGACATTAACTCTTTATTGGTTAGAAAGCATCACCAGCTAAAATCATGAAAATTGAAACTGGGGAAGCATGCTAATGAAAACTGCCTTAGTACATTGCTCAAAGTAAATAATCTAAATTTCTTTAAAAATGTTAGATGTATTTGAAAATTCTGCTTCAGTTCCAGTTTGAACAGTATTCTCAGTCCTGCTGGAACTGACAATAGCACTCAAGAAGGAAAGCTAAGGACAAGGAAAAACAGAAACTGACATCTGTGTTTGGTGTTTTCCTCTCACTCATCAATTTCCAGTTTTAAAAAGCATTATCTGAAAAAGTCTGTCTTTTCACACATAACTATTTGGCTGGATTAAAAAGAGCAATAGTTCTTTTATCATTTGTCTTTCTACTATAAGAAGTGCATTTTGTATTTCCTTGCAATCAAAACAATATACAATTCTCTTTTTTGGTAGTTTGGTTGTTTACTTATGTTTTCCATAAATTTTTGATACTGTATGTTTCCTCCTGCTCTTGAATAAAAACAACATGTTGCTTCTGTCCTGCCAAGGTTGAAAAATACATCCTCTGTAAGGCCTATCCTAGCAGGATAGGAAAATGGAATTCTTGTCTACTACTTCTCTACTTCTGTTGGTCATTCCTTGCCATTAAACACACCATGTCTAAAGAAATTTTAAAGTAATTTTCTTTCATCAGTAGTAGGTGAGATATCCTATTTAGAGTCATGTAAGTTCATACTATAATCTTTCTAGTCTAAATATGGTGAAAATAATTACCTGGGAACAAAAGGGATTAATCTTTTATTGTAGGAACGTGTTGAAATCTTTAACTCAGTGCTAGTAAAAAAACATTTTCTTTCTTGCAGATTATATAAATTTTGTAAACATTAATCAGCACACATAAACTATATACTGAAGTCTGTGTATTCATATAAAGTAAGGAACTTTACCTCCAGTTTCAGTAGCAGGATTTGTGCAATGCTGAATTTGAAGGAATTAAGATTGCTGTATTTTTAGTGGAATATTTGTCGAGACATCTCCCACTTCCTTTAGTTTTGGATGAAAGGCATTTTAAGGAGGTGACCTCATTTGATATTATAGGAGAAGTTTCTTGGGGGGGAGAAGAAAATGTAACTAACTTTTAGGCAATTCCAGTGTAATTGCAGAGCAGACTTCACCTGAAAAAACTACTGATATATGAACTTTAGCTATTATGGTTGTTTCTGCAAAAGTCAACTGCTAGCCTTGGAAGAGCACTCAGCATATGCAAGGGATTGGCCTCAGCTGTTTCCCGAGGGCCCAGTCTCTGCTGGGAAGGGGGAGTGACTTCGTCAGGCAGGTCAGAACAGAAACTCCGTTAAGATGCTGCAGCCTTGAAGGAGCCAGCATCCTTTTTCTCACTACAGGTGTGGCTAAGTTAGATGACTAAAGTTGGATGGATGCCCTTTTTCTTTTCCAATCTTACTGTGACTTTAGAAGTGGCAGGAATACTTTCTCATTGACACAGTTCTGATGAGTAGTGTATATATGTTTTAAACATATGATTACTTTCCTGATAATCTTTACACACTGAATCATTGTGCTTCACCAGTTGATGCTGAAGCACAATGGAATATATTTATATATTTATATATATATGAGATATTTATATATTAAATTTAAAAAGTTATTGTCATTATAATGAAAGATTAAACCTACAAAATAGATAGATTAGGCATGCAGTCAGATCCTGTAGTTAAGAAAGTCTGAAAAGTAGTTTTCTCTATTTGCAGAAATAATGATAAGTTATAGTGCCAAATCTAAATATCTGTCTTGGTCAGTAGAAAGATACTAAAATAGGCAGCCTCATATATTATGAAATTATAATACTGCTTTTTCTTGTTTCAGTGTCATGGAATGCACCAATTTTTTGGATCACAGCATTTCATATGCTTCTTAAGGAATGGGCTGGTGAAGGTGATCAGTCAAGAAATTACTTTAGAGTGGGTAGTTTAAAATATAAAGAACCTTGGTTTTATGTTTGATTGTTCATGAATAAAAAGTTTATGAGAAAATCCAATTTTCTACTGCTAGAATTCATTGCAGAGTAGGTATGCATGATAGATAAAAGTAGCAAGAGTAAATGAAGAAATGAGAATATGGATGAGTTAAAAGAACCTGCTTAATCTCTTATATCTGATATAAACCTTTTCTGGGGCTGCGTAGGAATACATTTCTAGGGTGGTAAGTTATAAAAAGAAACTGTCTATAAAACTACTGTAAGCTCATATGTAATAGTTTGTTATATAAAAGCGGGGAAATAAATTACAGACAAATTGCCAAGCAATAAAATTGACTGAATAACATTTGATTAAAAACATTCACAGTAAAAATGGCATCCACATTTTTTACAGATGACAGAAGAATGAAGATTTTGGTGAAAGATCTGCAATAAAATAATAAATATAAGTAAATGTACACTAGAAATGTTATATTACACTCTGAAAAATAATTTCTCTCTTTAGACTTTTTAATAAAGTTTTTTGCAATGCGCTCAATTTTTATGGATGGAATAGAATTAAAGACAAAAACATTTGGAAAACATCTTTCAGCCTGATGTTTTAAAGCAATCAGAGGTCAAATGTAACCACAAATCAAAATATCTTTTGAAGAGGCTTTAGTAACTAACAAACACAGGGGGTGGTTTACACCAGCTCTTTTCCTTTGAACATCCATTGATTAAAAGCAGTCGGACCACTCACTTCATTCCAGCTGAGGGAATGATAATGGACCCCACTAAAACCTTTGCAGGTGTCCCAGAACATGAGAATGACTTTACAAACCAACAGAGATTAAAAATGGTAATTGCTAACAGATTCATAAAAGACAAAGTATTAAGGGGCAGTGTATTAGATCTGGGCAGGAACTGCGAGTAACCAGCTATGCAGGGAGAAGTAAAAATGGGCTTCTCCCTTTATTCAGGGTTCAGTGAGTGGAATTTCATTTCCTTATCCTCCATTTATAATAAGGGCTATAGGCTAAGAGTATACAGATTTCTGTGAAAAGAGGTGCTCCACTGAAACTCTTTGTGGCTTTAGAACTGATCTTCATTAAATAAGTCCAGAGCCTTATGAGAATTCCTTGAGAAGCAAAAACTATGGAACTCTTAAAATCCTGACCTCTTGATGCCAGACACAGAATATGAATTCATGACCATTCTAGAATAATTCTTTAAATTCTAGGCAGTAATTTATAGATCAGTTTAGCAAAAAACAGTATTTTCAGCATATAACTGGTACTGATGCTGCCTTTGTGCACAAACTGGTTTGCTTATTCCTCCCCACTGTCCTGTCCCTTAGCAGGTCTGGAGACTTTTACTGTCACCTCCTTCCAGTCCCTCTGGAAGATAATTCTTTCTTCCATGACATCTGTGTGACACTAGACAACTGGTAAAGAATAGACTAAGGCTACTCAGCACTGATGTATAGTCATTTGAAAAAACACATAAAAATAAGGTTAACATCTAACATATACATGCAGATTTTGAAATGCATCCCATTCCTTCCATATACTGAAATTCTTTAGAAAAATACAGAGTTGAGCTGCCCAGATTACATATCACTTAACTATTTTATCTTCCTCCCTTTCCTTCTGTTTCACTGGTTTTATGATCTTTTTAGTTCATTTGAATGGAAATTTTACAGGTTGTTTTTTACCACAAATCCATAAGACTCTGGAGCTCACTGGGACCCCTACCATTTCTCAGATTCAAAACCCATGAAACCAGATACAGAAGTATGAACTCATTAGTATCCTAATGCAACCAGTATTAAACCTTCTAATGGCAAAACTTTGCAAAGACATTTCATCACAATAATCTTTGATATGTCCTCCACTTGGAGTATTTTTAAAGCTTCTTATGACATAACTCTGTTAAAGTGCTTTTCAAAGTAGTGCTCAGCAGGCAGGTGGTATTGTGCAACATATGTAGTACAAGCTCACATTACAAATGATTTGTCACTCTTAAAACAGAAACTGAAAAAAAGTATCTCAGCTAATAAAACCTATTCAGTGAGTCTGCCTAAGAAATATACGTGTTTGTTAGTATGTTGTATATACATAAATAGCAGCACTATATAAAACACAATTCTATGACCAGTTGGATTTGGGTTTTTTTATGTTTATACTCCATTAATCAATACTTAAATACTAGGGCTTGGACTATGCTCTTTATTTTCTCATTTATTTGTCTATACACAACTGCCTATGTCATAGTTTTCATATACTACTACTCAGTGCTTTGAAATTCTGCCAAACATTCCTTAAAAAATACTTTAAGAAAGCTGAAAAATAAACAACTCTCTGGAGCAAAAGTAAAAAAAAACAAACAAACAAAGCAAAAAACCGCACACCCAACCATAAACCCAACAAAAAAAGAACAAAATATTCAAGGTATTGAAGTGAAATCACTTCTTAGATGACATAGTTGTCATGAGTTGCAGGGAGCAACACCATTTACTGCAGCTGGTAAATTAGCTAAAGCCAGGCTATACAGAGCAAGACAATAATTTTCTTCTTACTTACATGTGATCTGATATGATTCAAACAACAGTCTTTTAATGCCATTTTTTACAGATACCCTGAAAATTCTCTTGTATCAAAAACCAGTTTATGTACTCTTCTATATCCATTTAGCAATACAACAGATCTACTTACCAATTCTTCCTTTCTCTACAAAGCCATTTAGTGATGCTTAGAAAATGATGAGAATTTCATTTCTAGAAAAATAACCTTTTTTCTTGTGTTCCCCACAGTTCATGCTTTGAGCCAAAACCTACCCTTGAATTACCACCACAGTCAGCAGCACTGGGAGGAATGGCCAGATAACTGACAGCAGAATTTCCCACTCTTAGTTTGTTGTAAAAATGCTTATAAAGCATCAGGGCGAGGGGTAGGAGAGGAAGGGTAGAGAATGTTTAAGCAAACTTCTTGGATGCTGGGCTAGGAGACTGGAGAAAGCATGCACCTGCCATATATCTTATCCATTTCACTAAAATGATATTCAAAATCAGGCAATGCTGATATTCTCAGAATTGAAGTAATAAATAAAAAGAACTTCCAGCTAAACTAATTATTATCACACTACAGTCTTTATATAATGTGCTATTTACAGCGAAATACAAAAAGTATTTCATTAATATAAGTACTACAAAGACTACATGTGATGCAGAACAGCTTTTACACTAGGCAAGGGTATGGAACCTGGAGTCAAAAATAATAGAGAATTTCCCCCCACTTACCAGTGCAACAGGTGTTCAGTGCAAAACAAACTGTGTTCACTCCCTTTGATTTCAATGCATTTTCTCTAGAAAGCTCCTAACAGAGTCACAGTCATTTTTCTATGCTCTCATCAGCAGCACAACAGCTTTGGTGAAGGAAAAGCAATGAGCTGGCTTCAGAGTGGGAATGCAGAGAATTGGCAAGTGTAGAAAAAGTGGAGAAGCTACAAAAATTTATTTTCCGACAAAATAACTCTCCACAAGCTGTGTAAACTTTTCTTACTGAAACAAATACTCTAAAACACAAAGATTTTACATTTCCAGTGAAACTCACAGTAATATTTGCCTGTTTTTACTCTCCTGAAGTCTCAACAAAGAGCCAGCAGATTTATGCTTTCCCAATTACCTGGGTCAGTAAATTCCCTCATATTCCCTGAATGCAATTTGGATTTTTAAATTAAGAGACAGAATGTAGAAATAGACTTTTTGGGCTTTTGAGTAACCTTTGTTTTCTTCAGTAGATTCTCACAGTTTGCTGCCTAACGTGCACACGCACACGAACATCAATCCACCACCCACCCACTCACATACACACCTCCAACATGTGTGCTCTGTTTACTGACAGTAGAACAAAAATTAAGCTGTGCCCATTGCAATATTGTGACCTGAACAGAGAAGAATAATTTATCATGGTAAGTTCATTATCTTTACTGTAACTTTAAAATGTAAAATTTGGTTTGCAAGGACAGCGTAAGTTATAAGAGTTACACCCTTTATCTCAAGCACTCATCCGTATTTACAATAAGTATAAGCTTTCTGCTACAGAAGAAAAAGTATTTAGATTGAACACTGTTACAGATTTCCTAAGTGACGCTAGTTCCAGTTGCCAGTAATTCAAAAGCAAATCTGCTGACTTGGCATTAGGACTCTAAAACAGTGTGATCAAACTTATATAGTAAGAAGGTGTCTGCAGAAATAACATTTATAAACTGTATATACAGTACACAGTACCAGTACATAGAAAATAGATTTTGACTCCATGATCCCCTGTGTGTAAGGCAAGACTGAATTCTGTCTTCATACGGAGACCACCAGAGGTACAAGCAACAGAGTGGTGCTTAAATCAATACGCAAATCAAGTGCATACAAATTAAAAATCAGAGCAGACAAAAAGTTTTAGATTTTTTTTATGTGCTGATCCTGGCTTGCTGAATACATGGGAAGTTATTAAACATCAAATGTACCTTTTTTTTAAAAAAGCACTAACAACACCTTGATGGCAACAGATATTGTTCAAGTGGCAGCTACCAAAAACAGCTTGAAAAATGTCATAGTACAACATCAGGAACTCTTCAGTTGTACTACACTAATTCATATAGCACTAACCAAAAAAAAATAAGTATATGAATATTCTATTTCATGCTATTGCTATGCAAGCAACAGCAATACAAATCAGCATACAGAAGGATACCATATGTTCTGCAAAGAAGAACCCAAGATATTTTCAAGGGGCATTGTTACAAGACTTCAAAGAAACACAAGACTGCCAGAGGCAAAAGTTACTGACGGATGTAAACATCCCTGTTCCACTCTCCTGCATCGTTACGTTTTTTGGATATCACTTCCCCATCCTTGTCACAATATTGGTCCCTTGATTTATGACGACTGCGCTGTTTGTTGCATTCATTGTGGTCCTGCTCGCGGTCCCTCTCCTTTGAGCGATGCCGGGACTCTCTGTGTCTGTGTTCACTGATCCCATGGGACTCGTCTCTGTGATTATGATCCCTGTGAGAATCATAGTGGTCACCATGCTCATGTGAGTAGTCCTCCTTTGGCTCTACGTAAGCTGAATCTCTGCTGTCTTGTGTTTCTGAGTCAAAAGTTTCTTGCCTGTGAAGGCCTCTGCCACCACTGCGATGGTTGTGGTGCTGGCTGGAGGAAGAGCGGTGCTGGGATTTCTTGGTGGGTTCGACCCTTGCTTCCTCTTCAATGTGGGAACCGCTGCGCTCAGGGACCGAATGGTCATTCCTCTGGTCTCCTTGAGATCCCTGCTACCAGAACCAGCAGTAAGGTCATGAGGTTCACATGGAAAACTTCCCCCAATATCAAATTCAACTAGAAAGTACTATGAAACCAATAAAATTTCAAGTACAAAACAATCCACTTTGAATCTAAACTAGGAAAGAAACCATTAGTATTCCACTTTTTCTGAAAATTCAGTATTATAATACAAACAATTCTTTTTACTCTCATCAGAATTTAGGGTGGCACTTGGGTTATTCTGTGGCACTTTCTCATTTCTTGTGATGTTTCTGACTACTCCAGTTAGCAATAATTTTCACCACCCTCCAAAGAAAAAGAGAGCATGCAGAAACAGGACAAACTGCAGAAAAATTGAGAGGAGATACCAGCCAGGAGAGGGCATATATCAGCTGAGAGTTTACAGATGCGTGTCTGGCAACAGCTGCTATGGGAAAGTGATTTTAGAGGGCTGAGGAGGTGGATTCCAGCAAAGAACCAAAGTACAAAACCTTGGCTCTTACAGAGGAACTTTTTTTTTAAGGAAAAAAAATGCAATTGAATCTGGTATGAATAAAGTTTGTATTATGATACTAATAGTATCACTGACCTTCTGTTTTCTCAGCAATAATTTCATTTCTTCTTGGTAATAAAAAATTAAACATTGACCTCATAATTTTAAGAGCTCGAGAATACAGCCCATTGCCAAGAAAAGCAGGAGGAGAGTGATATTATCACATACAAAATTTCCTAACACACCACTGCTATTAAAAGACCGAAATAAAAATTACCAGGCAATAAACCTACTCTTCACCCGCATAAATGCTTTGAAATCACTGCAAAATGAACAAGTGGCATTATTTACCTCATCTGGGGGTTTCATTACATTAACCTGCTTTTATTGCTCTGCTGCCACAAAATTAATGGACATTTAACCAGAGTTATACAGGCATTTGTTTGTGAGACTGTTCTGAATACCAAAGTTAGTCTTAAGTTTGCCCTTCTATGTTCAGAGTTGTCTAAAAATACGGATTGCCCCCAGGGCAGTTCATGGACATATCTTCTTTCTGATTTCTGTTTTGTGGAAAAGAGCTAGGGGAAGGAGGAAATGTTGTCCTTCAGCCACAGATCCTGGCAGGTGGGTTTCCTAGCAACCCAAAAAGTAAAATTACAGGAAACTGGAAAGGAAAATAATCTGTATTTAATCAGAAACTTATAAAAAGCAGCATATTTCAAATCAGCAATTTGGTAAATTTGACAAATCTTAATTTTCTAAGACTACATTTTATTATGTAAACATCTGAGAGATGAGCTGTGTTTCTAATTCGAAACAAACGGCACAGATGAGAACAAAGTAACAGGATAGCAGTCAAATTTCTTATTTGTTCTTGCTTTTGTGATTCTCAAGATGATTCCGATTTGCCACAAAAGAATATAATAATTGTAAACATGAATAGATCTGTTCAAGGTGAAATGAAGTGACTCAACAGAGGGGAATTGTAAATGAAATTAAGAGAAAAGCAAAAGAGTCCAAAGCAGAAACATGCCTGCTTTGCATGTGGAAACACAATTTTCATCAGTTCACCACCATGACTGGTTTTAAGGCACATAAACGTAGTATATATGTGAAACCCTACAGTTCTCATGTGGTGAAATGCAAGTACCTGTATATAATCACAACAAATAAAATCTGTCACTGCTGTGGTTTGAGAACAAATGTAAAATTTGAACCTGCATTGGAAACACTGCTGCTTTTACAAACTCAGATGCATCTTCTGTGCTGTGATGAGCACATGTGAAGAAACAATGAATAAATTTAGAACCAATACCTGCAATTTCAGAATAGTGTTAGGGCTGCTGGGATTTATGGGCAAATTCATTGACAGCAAGTTTTATTAAATATTACAGCGACACTGAACAGGTAATGTCTGATTCTGGATTAGAGTCCGGCTTTTTGGCTCATAACCAAATTCGGGCTCTGATTTGGAATAGATTCTTCAGTGCAGGAATTTTATAACCCAATTTCTTAAGGTTTTTTTTGTCTAAAATAGAAAAAGCTTGAGATAATCCTTTTTCAGTACTCAGTTTGTACTTTCAGAGAAGTAGGGGTTCTTGGAAAGAAGTTTATACAGTGTTGAAAGAGGACAGAGAAACCTTTGTCCACTGAGTGAATTTGCCTTGCTCCTTATTTCCAGTGGTCCCTGATCACCTGCACCATATGTGTGTGAGGTTGCTCCAGTCCTTTTGGAGTTAGCCAACAATTTCCATACAAGTTTTTTCCGAAGCTCTCCCTCAAAACAGACACAATGTCTTTGCGTAGGTCTTTGCCTAATTAATTTCAAACTGTCCCAGGATGCCTCACGCCGTCAAGCACCTCATGCAATGCACACAGGCAGCTTCATGCTGTAAAAATGCCACTTTGGCAGCTGGCAACACAAATCCCTCCTTACAATGTACACTGGGGACTTAAAAACCACAAACCCAAAATATGTTTCATGGCAAGGGAGCACTGCATTGGCCCCAGGGGAGGATGACTCCAATGCTCTACAGTGCAGACGTGGCTCTCCCAGACCAAACAACTGGTGGCTTTTCCCTGTAGAGCAGTCCAGAAATACAGCACAGGCATAGACTTTAAATTCCCTAAATAGAGGGTCTTAACAATATTGAAAGAATGGGTTCAGCCACCATCATTAAAAAACAGACCCATTCTGTGCCAAGGCAATGACAAGCTCAGGTTTGAGATGTCAGCTGAAGATGTATCGTAGGAAAACGAAACCAAAGGAACAGATAGGTTTTATGTTCCATAAGGGACCCCTGTTGACTCACACTTCTGTATTAGTAGACCTACAAACAAACTTTGAAACTGCAAATACACCATAATTTTTAGTCCTTAAAATAAAAATCTGTTAGTTTGTAAGGAGACAGCACAGCATTCAGAGAAGTGTTATTAAAACTCTGCATAGTTCCTCCAGAGAATGTGGTTAATACAATGAGTATGTGAGCTATAAATCCACACTCAAAAAGCATAAAAAAAACTTGAGCAAAATGATTTAGAAGTTTACAAAGCAAAGAAAGTTTATCTAGCAAGGCTGCACACAACAATACTGAATTTCATACTCAGAAATTCTTCCAGCTCACAATTTTTTCAAGGTGTTTCAGCTCTGAGGACAGAAAAAAAGGCAGAAATGAGCTATAGCTTACAGTCTCTTTTCCTGCAACCATATCTGAAAGCAAGAGAAGGAGATACCCTTCAAAATGGCTAAAGAAATGTTTCTTGTTAAAGAACAAACCTGTCAAGTCTGTGGTTTTCTAATGAGAAATAAATTATTTGACACAAAAACTTGTTTTGCAAAACCATAAAAAAAGAGCACAACTATTTGCATTTTAACTTGGGTGAAGATACATTTTTTTCCTTTGATTTTCTAAAAGGAAGTGTTTTTCTTAGCCAAAGTTATGAATTGTAACTTGCATATGTATGTAATTTATGGGCACATATTGAACTGAGGTAGAAATTTAGATGTAGCCTTTATTTGATCTGGGACAGATCTATTTTATCCCCTTCTGTGTACTTCTCAGCCTCAAGGAGTCACTCACTACTTATAATAAAGTAGTGAAGCAGTTCAAACACTTCATTTCATATCAGGCAACACATATCCACAGGAAACCATCTCCTTATGCTGAACACCTCAATAAAATGACACAAATCAAAAGTCAAAGGAGAAGAGAGGGGACATAATATGCCCATATCAACAGGCACATCAGTGCAGAGGGAAGAATAAAGCCTCCTTTTGCCAACTCACTGGAGAGTGTCCTTGCTGTTCAGAACGTAGAGCCTCTCTCAAGGTCTTCCTGCACAACGTGCGGTGCAGTGGGACTTGGATTTGACATAAGGGTTTGGCTTCAAGGAAGTCTGTACTTTTCACAGCAATGGCCAATAAATAAAAGAACAAAGGAAACACTGGAAGGGCCACTTTGACCTTGAGTCTTTACTAATACAGTCAGTCATCCTCAACCTCTACAACTCTACAGCCTGTGGGAAGACTGGAACAGATTTCCCTCAAACATTTGTGGATCTGCCCTGTACATAACCCAGTTTGTCATGCAGGGCCTCTGGGGCCGGGATTTGCCTGTTAGCCATAGTGTGCCCATCAGTCAGGGAGTTACCAGAGGCTGGAATGTGCCCAGTCTTAGCCCAGCTTTATTTCTCTGATTGGATTACACATGGCCAGCTATAAAAATGCTTGTGGCTGGTACACATATTACTGGCACAGCGGTGTCCTGGGCACAATAAAACCTGAAGTATTCCATTTCACATCATATGTTTTCAGTCAGGCCAGCTTAGTCCTTGGAATCAAAACCAGCCCCCTAGCCAATACACAAACACATGCTACTATGAATACAACAGCAATGAAAGTAACAGGCTTGCATTTTATACTGAAAATGGGTGAATGTCTGCTGAAAAAGCTTTCAATCTATCAAAAACAGGAAAACATATTCAGCATATTCTAGTATCAGCCTAACTCTGTGCTTTGGAAGGAGAAGAAGTTGACAGAAGAAAAAGAAGAGATGGCATAAAAACTGTACCTGTAAATTAATATTTGGACCCGGGCTAATAGGAAGAGTGGCTGTTGCAAGTGTGCGAGTGAGAAGCTGGTTAGGAGGATTGCTGCTAGGTGGATGTGTGGCCTTCCAGTAGGCTTCCAGATAGTCAGCAAGGTGCTCACAAGCATCTTCAAGCTGGTTCTCATCAAGAATTACATCAAACATTTCCTGATAAAGAAAAGGTTTTAGTGACAATAATCACCAGGTAAAGGGAGATCAGCTAGAGACATTGATCATGCTTTCCATGAATCAAAAATTAACTACATTTTTAGTACTTATTTTAGGGTTTTTTTGTTTGTTTGTTTTTTCTGAATGCAGTTGATACAAAAGATGATAATCATAACTAGCACTAATATTACATTTGCTAAAGCAAGGCCTTGAGACTTCCACATAGTAATGCACAAACAGTCAAAGAAGACAGGAAGATGCAGCTTGAACAAATCTTAAATACACAGAAAGAAGGGATAAATATTGAACAATTAACTATGGAAAAAATGGGATGGCAAGAAAGGGATTCGGTCCCCTTGTAGAATAACTAAGAGAAAACTAAGGTAAACTAAGACCAATAACTAACAACGATAAGAATACAGATCATTCAGTTTCCAAGTGTCATACAAATATTAGGTAAGAGATTAGTCACACAGTCTAATTTTAGTCTCCTAAAGTGAGGAGGTGATTTTTATCTATTTCCACTCTGGTCAGGGAGCAGAAGGCAGCTTTGAGGGCCTATGCAGGACTCCAGCACTCTTCACTGACTTCCTGGAGACCTAAGCATTGCTTAACTGAGATGCTTGAACTTAAAAGATGAAGACATTCCCTTCACTCAGCTCCGTAACTATGGCAAATTATATTTGCAACTGAACTGTACTCCCATCTTCTGGTTCCTTACCCATACACTTGGCAGCTGAGTATGCAGGCAGCCATGCATGCCAGGTTTAAAGCACACTTGGGGTGTCATCACCTCCACTTTATAGGTGGAAATTGAGAGAATTTGCTTCAGTGCACATCTGAAGAAGAGCTGCAGAGCTGTCAGCTATGCAGTACCATTCAGCTCTTTGGCAAATCCCTGACCAGGAAGATTAGCAGTGGTGGGCCATGCTGACAGATGCCCCAGAGGAGCTCTAAACTACCAGAGATAAAGGACAGTCACTGAGAGGGTTCATTTTTCAATCAGTAACTCCCTAAAACTTAGCAAGCAAAGCAAATGTTCAGTTTACTGAAGCACTGACTGTACCAGCACACATCCTAATAACTGATTCTGACTAGGATTCTTTCTCCCCTGCACCCTAAAGCGGAGCCCTGAGACCTCAGGGGGTGTTCTGCAAAAAGCAATAGTTAAATATGGCCAGAAGAGGGCAAACATTCCCGAAAATTATGTAATTAACATCGTGCTTGAAAAGAAAGGCACCTTTTTGAGAGAAGACATAAATTAACAGTAACTCACAGGAGGACACTGTGCCAGTTTATCAGCTGCTACCATCTGAACATTAAGGTGTTTGGCCTGAGATTTCCCTCGAGATTTTATCAACCTCTGTAAAACCTGTGAAAAATAAGACATTAAAAAAAGTGAGCAGACTCAGACTTAATATACATATATAACCACTTAAAATGTTTTCATTTGAAACAGCTCACATGAGCAGAGCAAATTCTTAATTTGCTGGCTTCAAGAACATTTCCTGTGTTCCCTCTTCCAGGGAGGGAAATAAACTAATTTTCATTTACACCCAAATATCTCCTTTCCTTTTTACAAGCACTAAAAAGTTGCACTCCTGCCTTTTTTCTGTTGCTTCTGGTTTTGTTTTTTTCTAAGTTGAATTTTTAAAGTCGATTTCCTGAGTGCTCTTCCCATAAATTCATTTTTCTCTTTCAAATGCCTCTTCACAAGGTCTGTGCATTTTTTTACACACAGTGAAAGTGTATATTATCAGATGTTAAAGTTTAGCAATCAGTCTGATACTCATTCAGTGAAAATCATTCTTTCATTTCCATATTATTTTGATTTAACAAACCATGAGCACTACTTATGTAATTGATACTGAAAATGCAATTCCAATTTAAAAACTCATTGGACCCACATAATCTTTTCCAAAACAGGTTTTGGTTAACACTAGAGCTCAGATACTTTTTTGATCATTAATGGTTCACTATCCAAAGGGAAGCAGTAACAATATATAGCTCTAAACCTAAAAAAAAAAAACAACAACAACAACAAAAAAACAACTAACCCAAAAAATCAGAAAGAACATGAAGGTATCTAAAATATTTACCTTAGGAGAAGAAATCTTTACGTATACTATAATGGGAGCCAGAGAGGTTTTGCTCAGTTGAGCTGGGTGATTAATGGTATCAGCATCAAGCACTACCAACTGCAGTGTCCTGGCCAATTCAAAAATCCGTTCAATTTCACTTTGAACTTCAGCTGCAAAGTAGAAAATAAGAGTTAGAGAAAATACTAAGAGGTGATTAGCTTTAACAAATGTGGCAGTATAGCAGAGTGGTGTGTTGCTCCTTCTCTGGTTGCAGGAATTGCTGTTACCCTGCACATCCCAGGCGCAGCAGGGTAATGAATACAGCGTTAATGAGGGCGTTTCACCCCCGCTTTGCTGCCCTTGAGGCACTGCCTGCCTCCCTGCCTCACCAATTCCTGCTATTCTAGGCTGCAGATACTGATAACACCTCCTGGCATGACCCCAGACCATGTATATAAGAAAAAGGGGCACAAACGCTTGCTGCATCAAACGGCAACCTCAATATGCCACAAATCTGCTACATGTAAATAATGGCAGCTCAGACTTCATTCTTACCCAGTAACCAGTTTGCTCAAGCTGGAGTGCCTGAGATAGGCTTTAGGAAGTACTGATTGTTACACTATAGGAACTACTGTTTTCCTATTTACTTCAACTTATCAAAGCTCAGGAAAACAGGTTTTGTTCTACTGGCCTCAGTATGGTACCATGTTAAAAATTTGGCTATCATGTGTAAAACACTTTTATAAGAGAAAATAACTGAATAATCCAAATAATGCTATGATATCCTCCTGACAATCTCAGGAGCTGTGGAAACCTGATTTTCCCAGAGGAAAATAATCTTTTTATCTGGTAGTCATGCTCCCAGCTCCTCAGCACCCTGCCTGACTGGCAGTACTTTCCAGGGCAAACCTCTTCAAGACAGATGGGCTGCATCCGCTTTCACAAGTGGTGTAGAAACTGTCTTCATTCCCCAGTGAAACAAAACTACATCTTATAATACCAAAATCATCTTTAAAATGAAATCACATTTTCCTGCTCACATCTTGCTATTGGCTGATTTCACAGAGGAATTAGAGAAGTTGGGTGATTTATGCAAGTCTATAAAGAAAGTCATTGGGCCACAGAAGCTTAATTCATATAGGTTTCCCTTTAAAGGTTGTGCATGCTTCATGAACCAAAACCAGATTAGATATCCAGCCCATTCAAAGAAAATATTAGAAGATAACAAACAGAGACTTAAAGGTCAAAGAAGAGGTACCAAAAATTTAATAGAGAGTTTCTCGAAATTACATAATCAGTCTTTTAGCTATTATGCTGACAAAAGCTTAACTTTTGCTTGAAAACACAACCTACCTGATCTGGCTAGAGAGGGAGTTTTCTACATCAAATGGTCTCTTTCAAGAGACATGATGAGATTGATTTTTTCTATCTTAGAATAGCAACTGCATAAATCAGGTACTATAAAAAGGTTGTAAAATTTCCAAGAGAGATCAAGGCATCCTAGCTAGTATTTTGGTTCCAAATCAATAGGTGATTGCTATGGTCATTTTAAAAACAAAGTAACATCTAAATGGTCATCAGAAAATCTATATATGATATCCTTTATTGGATGAGGTAGACATTGGTTTGGATTAATTAGAGATCACTTCCAGCTGTTTGTGATTATCTGCAGATTTGGGTGAGCACATACAATCAGTCTTTTACAGCAGTGAACATTGTGAGATGTGCACAGTGTGGCATGGAAAACATCGATGCATGCTTTGCTGCTGGTCAATAAAAGCTCTGTGGTCCCGCTGCAGTCCTGAATTAGGACCACATTTTTTAAGACAGAACTTCTGATGGCTCTTGCCACATTCACAATTGCATTTTCTACAACTTTGTTGCACAGAAATACTGCTGAAATCACTGAATACCACTGTCTCAGAGTTTTAGTAGAAGACAGTCAATAATCTATCCCTAATTTAAGTACAAATGACAACTAGAATAAACATATCAGAGATAATTTGTCACACTGTTCTGATGGTGAGTTTAGATTGCTTTCCTGCAATTTCAAACCAGGCTAAACACTTCGGTCAGTATAACAATATTAGTTAATGTATCATTTCAAGACCACTCCAGACTGCTAAAAAACTTTTGTTCAAGACAATTTATAACCAGCAAAATCTGTCTCTATGCCATTGTATCATAATTTTGTCTGGGGAAGCAGTATTTTCTACACTCCTCGCAGCACTTTTCTGCCAGTACAGAACACATCTCTGTGGACTAGATTTTCTGCTATACTTTTTGAAACACCCTCTGCCAGGGCAGAGTTTACCTCAGGGTATGTTCTATTGTGAAACACACCCAGGGCAATAGCTGCAAGTAACTATGGTCCTGTGAACCAATTGTTTCCACTTAAGTCTGCAGATGGAGAGAGATCTTTTTTGCCAATTAAAATGTATTTCAGTACCTAGTTTTCTTAAATTGAGTAGAGGACAAAAGTTCAAGGAACTCCACTGCATGACTGGTGAACTAATACATGTGCCTCTGCCTCTTCAGTCAGGAATGGATGGGAAAAATGCCACAGGGATAGCTGAAGAGGTCCTGATCTCCTGTTCCTTAGAGTACTTCTTTAGCTCCTGGAAAAACTTTCACTTTGCTTGAAATCTTCTTTGAATTCCAACTTTACAAGATTGTTGCAATTACTTACATAACAGTAGCTCCTTTTAGATGACAAAGGCTTTAACCACTGCTACTGCTTTGGTTTTCATTCTTTTTTAGCAATAATCTCACAAACCAAATCCTCTACCTGTAAAAACTTCTTCTCAACAAGACATTCAACATGAATTATCTCAGACTTTTGCCCAAAGTAAGCAAATAACTCAAAAAGTCATGTGGGGATAGTAACATAAATGTCGCTGGTAGTTAAAATAGGGAGCTGAGAACAGTGACAGTAGGGTATCTTCAAAGCAGCACAGTAATAGCTTTGCAATTTTTCCACCTCCATGAATACAATCTATTTATAATAATGTCCCTTCTTATGTACTGGAGAGGCATAAGAGTGAAGTTATAACACTAAACTCCAATAAATTGTATTTGCCAATCATAATGAAAGGCATAAAAATAATTAGAATTACTGTGACAATCATCATGAGATGCTGACACCCCAGCTACAACACTCAAACCCAGAAATCAGCTACCAAATTCTAAAGTGACCCTTACAATCTATTTCATATGGTCTCCTTGGTAACCAGAAAGTGAACACATTTTAAATGACAGGAGCATTCAACTATTTATTCCGTACGATAACAAGTCAGCTCTAAGAAACAATAAGTACACATCTCCCAGAGAACTTTAAATACAGCACATTTAAACTTACTTCCAAATATAAATTACCAATATCACTACTGTACCTTGAACAGAAATTCAGTGTAATGAAAGGACAAGTAAATCACTTATCCCATTATGGGCACAGAGAAATATTCTTTATACCAGTTGGACCTCACAAGTGAATTCCAAGAAAAAACCTTTCCCAGTTCACTACAATAACCTCCCCTAAAATACAGGCAAAGACACAACAACACTTTATCTCTGTCAATTCACTACTAAACATGATGAACTGTGGTGGAGCTTAGGGTCACTTATGTAATGCCATGGGACAGGAACCTTCTCTATGACACACAGGTGGAGAAGCACAACCCTCCTGCAAACCTGGGCTCATCCACAGCAGCCACGAGTCACCGGGACCCAGCGTGACAGAGCAGTGCCTTTGCCAGCAATTTGTTTCAGCAAGACCCTGATGAAATAGCAGTTCCATGAGAGGGACACGATAAAAAATGGACACACATCTGGCCTGCAAAGGCCCAAGTGAAGCACAAAATACTGCTTAGAGGCAGCAAAGAAATTTTGATCTTCACAAGGAGCAGTGAAATTCACATACTCTCAGCTGAGCACAGTACGACTTTTATAGCCAATTAAATTTGACCTTATCTCCTGTCTGTGGCATCGGTGGCTCTGTTTTGTTCATTGAAACTGATAGGTAAATTATGATTTCAACTGCAACAGGCACAGAGACAAAGCATTCTAGATTTTTTAAACAGGGCTGCTGATATTACAGACATATGGAATGAAAAGAACACAACTCTGTCAATGTATGCAATACAAAATGATTAGCAACACCTTACACAACTGGCTTTGAAATAATTTTATAAATTAAGGAGAATAGCTATCAGTAGCCATGATTTTTATGCTAATACTTTTATTTAAAAATAAATAACTTACAAGTTACTTAAAAACAATTAACCACCAAACTCCATGACTATAACTAAAGTAATGAGAAGTTTAAGGTAGGCCTCAGGATTCCCATAACAAAGGTGAAAGAAAAAAATGTAGTTTTTATCCCAGTGCCTTAAAACCACCTAGAAGGGCTTGCACCAAAAAAAACATGCTAAATGTATTATCTGAAATCCAAGAAAATAACAAAAAAATAGGAAGTGATAATTATTGAGCTGTGCTCACACAAGTCTCTAAGGAAAACAAAATCATGAGCTTGACTGACAGAATTAAAATTTTAAATTTTAATTTGTGAGCGTGTGTGTGTACACACATGCTTCACATTGAGTGAAAAATCAGCAGTGTCTCCATGGGGTACTGCTGTAAGCAGAATGCAGGCCAGAGCAGGCTGCCCTGGCTGCACCCTGCAAACAATGCAACGAGGCCGAGACACTACGGGGGTGACCCCATAAGTTACAAGGGGTTTGAGCACAGCAGAGCCAGCTAAGAAGAAACCCCACAGGTGTTTAAGTGTTTGCCCTCTTTCTTTTCATCTTCCTTTTCCACCCCACAAGCAGCAATGCTGCTCTGGGCAGGCAGGGAGTGAACGGGGGCTTGGGCTGGGCAGTCTCCATTCTTCCCCAGGCAGGGAGCCTCAGTCCCACAGTCTCCAGGCAGGATTGCATGATCCGCCCCACACCATGGGGTGTCCCAGCGCTGGGGGGCAGAATGCTTTGTGCCTCTGCTCCTGCATATCCAGCTAAGAAGGAAAAGATCTTGAAAAACATAAGCAAGAGGGAAGAAATGCTTTAGCTTAGTCCTCAGGCAACTGGTCAAAAGATGACTGGATTACAGGTGTTTTAATCAAATGTCTAACCTAAATGTTGTTTAGTGAATATACATAGATTTCCCTGGTCTC